CCATGGCCAGCTACAGGTCCTGCATTTGCTTGAACTCCCCCCCCTCCCCTCCTCCTCCACAATGCCTGTGCCTTTCATTTTACCAGCCTTTCAACGACCGATGGCCCGAATGAACTACCCGTATAACCAAAGACGACGAAATTGCCTGAGGGGGAAAACGCAACCCTTACCATGTGGACCCGAATGGACGACCAGCATGACCAACCGAAGAATATTGACTCAAGGGTAGTAAAAAACGCAACCCTGACGGGTTGTGAACTCAAGGGTGAGTTCCAGGTTTGGTTGGTGTTTTCCCGTACTATACATAGGGGCTCGGCCCACAGACTATCGAGCGAAGGCATTTTTCGAAAGGTGTTAGACTTATTTCGAAAGTCTGCTCGTCGAAAGGACGAGATAGATGAGGAAAATATATACAAAACAAGATTGAGAGAAGAATGTAGGTTAGTCTTAAAAAAAAAGAAAAAGAAATGGATGTAGCTTGCCATCTTTTGCGGAATTGTTCACTCCCGTTTTTTTTTTTTGGTGAGTGCTGTGGCCAGACCATCTGACTTTCAGTCACTGTGCAGCCTGTAGCTTGTGGCGTCGTCGCAACATGCACAACGCGCCATCGCTCAGTGCGCCGCAGTGTCCGTTGCCAAACTTTGTGTGGTCATCTAGGTGTGTCAGGGCCAGATCCCACGAGCCCCTGTTGTTCATTTCTGACCGTTGATCTTCGTAATCGAGGGTGAAAAATGAATAATCCAGGGTAGTGGGATCTGACCCTCATTAGTGTCTGTGGGGTGCACACATAGTGCCGTGTCGCTGGACCTCACGCCATTTTGTGTGTCGTTTGCTTGGTATGACGAGCGGATTTCACGGGCATTCAAGTTCGGGCGAGCCGGTCTAAGATTCTCTTGAAGGCTGTCGTAAGAGGTAAGTTTCCATCCACGAATCCCTTCGCTCATTCTCTTTCTTCTTGAACAGTGCTCTTCTGGTAATGATGACGAAGATGAGGAAGATAATGATGATGATGATGATGATGATGATGATGAATAATGATGAGGATGGATGATGATGAATGATGATGATGATGATGATGATGAGGATGAGGATGAGGATGATGATGAAGGACTTGAGAAAAGGAAAAAAGAATGAAATAGTTAGAGTAGAAGGCGAGCAGGGAAGAAGAGAAGAAGACGCGGTGAAGGAACATCGAAGGGACAAGCATCTCGAATTAATGGGAAATTCCGGGTGTGTGGGGGGGTGGTGAAGGGGGAGGGTGGAGGGGGTTTGAAGAGGGGCGGGGTGTAGTAGACGCAAGAATGGACGACAGATTACGAACAGCGATGGAGGAGGAAGGGGAGAGGAAGGGAGAGGGGGGGAGAGGGGATAGAAGAGCAATTAAGAAAAAGGGAGATGGAAGGGACAGGGGTGGAACGGCAACAAGAAGAGGGAAGAGTGTCCTTAGAGATATTTGCCGGTGTTTTCTACTCTCGTGAACTAGAGCAGAGACCCGATGCGTGTGTGTGTGTGTTTGATATATATATATATATATCGTCAAATAGAATATATATATATATATATAGTGCCAGCGGCGTGTCTGGAGTGTATTTTTTGGCTGTGACAGACCTTTCTTTGTTTCGTGGATGTTTTGCTGGCTTGTGATGGGGTGTGAGGGTTCAGCCTCCTGATGAGTC